GCGAGGTGGCGGGGGCGGGGGCCGGGCCCGAGGCTGCTGAAGCTGCATCTCCCTCCCTGGTGGGGGTTACGAGGAAGGGAGGGGCCAGGGCGGGTTCCCCAGGCCGGGGGGCGGGGTGGGGCCCCCTCGGGCTCCTCTTAGAGTCGTAGAGTCGTTTTGGTTGGAAATGAACAAATCCAAGTCCAACCATGAACCCAGCGCTGCCAAGCCCGCCGCTAAACCACGTACCCCGCGGTAGCACGGGGGTCGGGCCAGGTGATCTCCAGGGGCCGCTTCCAACCCCGGGCGTCCTGCGATCCTGCCCTTCCCTGGGCAGCCTGTGCCAGTGCCTGGAACGCTTTCATTAAGATTTTTTTTCCTAACATCCAATGTAAACCTCCTCTGTCACAACCTGAGACCATTTCCTCTTGTTCTGTCCCTTGTCGCTTGGGAGAAGAGACCAACACCCACCTTGCTACGGCCTCTCTTCAGGTAGTTGTAGAGAGCAATGAGGTGTCCCCTCAGCCTCCTTTTCTCCAGACGAAACAACCCCAGTTCCCTCAGATGTTCTCCAGCCCCTTCACCAGCTTCCTTGCCCTTCTCTGGACACGCTCCAGCCCCTCAATGTCCCTCTTGTAATGAGGGGCCCCAAACCGAGCACAGCACTCGAGGTGCAGCCTCATCAGTGCCGAGCACAGGGGGACAATCACTTCCCTGCTCCTGCTGGCCGTGCTATTCCTGCTACAAACCAGGATGCCATTGTCCTTCTTGGCCACCTGGGCACATGGCTGGCTCATATTCCCCCCTACATCCTGTTTTTCAGACATGATGGAGCAGTCAAAGCTGACGTGTTTCCAGAGGCGATACCTGATGGACCGTGTGCAACGTGAGTGATGGCTCTGTCGGTCTCACACCTGTGGCTGTGCTGTGGTGAAGAGCTTTTGCTGCTCACCTTGGATGGGGTTGTTGGTCCACAGCCTGCTTAGAAGATGGGCAAGTACTTTGGAACAGCAGCACAGCTGCTGCTGATACACTGGGACGTCCAGGTTGAGGTGTCCCCAAGGGAACACGATGCAATGGCATGACTTGAATCACAGTCTGTTTCATGTCAGCATGTTCCAACAACCAAGGTGAGACATCTGTGGCACCCAGGGTCCTGTGCTACAGTGGATCAACACTAGTGGTAGCCCAGGACCATCCATTCAGGCTCCTCTCAGTCTGACTTACCATTATTTTTGGTATGTTCTCCAGGAGGAGATACCTTGCCCCTCCAGTGCCATCCCACATCCAGCAAAGAGCCAGCACCTCCAGCACCTGCCTTCTCCCCAGCTGTCCATCACCCCATCAGGCTTCCAGCCAAACCACACCTCCGACCTGCCAAGGTCTGCCAGGCAGGAAATGCCTACACCCGAGAGAAGTTCAAGCCATGGCCAGGACGTAAGTTGGCAAACATCACAAAGAAGTAAATGAAGCTGCTGGGTCCTCTCTTCCCCTTAAGTCCATCCCCTGCCTGCAATCTCAGCAGTAGGAAGGAGTGTCTAAATTGCTCTTCATCCTCACACTTTCTGTCAAATATACTTTAAAAAGGGATCTCTGAAGGAACATCTGCTGTTAAGAGCTTGCTGACTTCTGCCCGCTGGAGCAGAAGCTTTATAAACATGGATCAAACCTCAGATGACAGTGTGGTCGGCTCTTCACCATGGGTACACCTGTGTAGTGCTTGCAAGTTTTGGTCTAGGGATGGGCTGTCATTAACATAAGCTTCCTCTGGCATCATTAGTGACGTGGCCAGGCTCCTCCCTGAGGAAACAGACTGAATATAAACATATATATATAAAATTTAAATTTTTCCCCCTTGGCATTCACAGGTGATTTGGAAAAGGAGAAGCAAAGGCTCCAAAACATTTTAGCGACAGGGAAGGACGTGGTGGAAGACAAGGTGAAGCAGACACTGGTTCAGACAAAGGAAGAGGAGACACCTGAGCCTGACCGATTTGAAGAATGTAGGTCCTCCTGTACCCTGGTGGAAGTCAGGCAGGAAGCCCAGGAGGCTGGCTCCTTCCCAGGGGAAACCTGAAGCCCATTGTGGAAGGAGGCACAAAGCCACTTTCCAAGAGAAAGGACTTGCTGCTGTGGTGCTGTGACCCAGCCAGCCTCATGGAGCTTATTCTGAAGAGGTTTGCTGGCAGAGTCAAGGTCCCTGGGCTGCCCACACAAAATGAGCTCTGCTGGCAGAGGAATTCCCTAGGGATGCGAAGGGTGACCTGGGCAGGAAGCCCAGGTACTGTGGGTCCTTTTTCCAGCCAGTGTAACTCAACACAGACTAGGCCGCTCGCCAGCCTGACCCATGGTTTGGGCTGTTTTCTTGTGCTCCAAGATAAGAGCAGTTACACTAGCAAAGCTTAAATACTGAGCAGAATTTTAACCAGTGATGGACTTTGGCCTCCAGAGTATTCTGGGATGGCAAAAACCTGCCTAACACGTCTCTGTACTTGAATCTTTCATGGGTGTGTGCACCCCAGCCAGCCCTTCACTACCCAGGGCAGCAGCAAGATGAACACTAGAATATCACATACAGAAGGGGTGCTGTGGCCCCTGCTGCAGGGAAGCCAGCATGTGTTCCCCAAAACCAGTGGAATGTAGTCCTTGACACATCTGAAATAGCCATGTACTTTGTCCTGTGGCAAGATTTGGGCCAGCTGGCTGCAGGTCTGCACTGCAAAGTGGCAGATAACATTCCATGCCTGTGCTGGTCCTGGGATTGGGGATGGCTGCAGTCACTGGGTGATGTATGTCAACCATTAGTTTTAAGCAGGTTCTGTCTCCATCCACAGACTGGTTAAATTTCCCACAAGCAACAAAGAATTGTGTGTACAAAGAAAACCAGAAGGTTTCTGTTTCTGCAGGATGGGGAGTGGTAAGAAGGTGGGCAGGGGGGACATTGCCCATTTTGTAAGGTACTAGGGAGATATTTTGATGACAAGTGCAAGGTAAGTGTTAGAGTGGACATCACCCTTCCCCTGGGGGGACCACTGTTCAAGCAGAGCTAGGAAATAGGGGGCTCAGATCTAGAGAGAAATGTGTTTTCTTGCCCTTTGGCTGAATCCTGTTTCCACAATGTTTTCTTTTATCCATCAGTGGTGAATGAAATTCAGGAGAGGAGGGAATTCCTGGCAGAGATGGAAGCTCTAGGACAAGGCAAGAAGTATCGAAGTATTATCCTCAATGAAATCTCACAGGTACCTGACTGTCCTAGTGACACTGGCCAGAGTGTCAGAAACCTGAAAGCAGAGTCTCCTCAGATAACCTGAGCAGGGAAGGAGGCAGACAAGCGGGTGTTCCCTTCACAGCACGGGGTCAGGCATGTATTTGGGGAACGTGGTATGAAGGCTTTCAGCCTTTCTTCCACCTCAACTTAATCAGGGAAATAGAACTTTTGTTCTTGGGGTTGGCAACAGAAGGAAAAAAAAATAAAAGCTGCCCACATTCTCCCCACTTAGCCCCTTCCCCTTTGTACTTTGCAGAAAATACGTGAGATGGAGATTATTGACAAGAAGAGGAGTGAGGAAATGAGACAGATCATGACAAAAGACTTCCCTGGTGGGAATAAATCCGATCCCTGCGACTAGGAGAAACAGAAGTGCAATTTGTTCCCACCTCTTCTGTAGAGCTGGTTTGTGCCTGTGCCTGCAGAGGGGGGCAGCACCACCTGTTGCCTAAAGCCAGAAGGTAGGAGCAATTTGTACACATCTGGTAGCAGAAAAAGAGCTGTTGTAAAATCCTGCCCACACACCACATTCCTTGTAGCTCAATGATGTTACAGAGATGAAAACACAGAGAGCAGCAGCTCCCAAAAATGAGAAAGCAGAGCCTCCTTTCGCCCGTGCAGTGCCTTGGAGTACAGTGATCCACCAATGAAAATGTCACTTCTTCCCATCTGCCCAGAGGTGGGGGTTTCTTGTGACAGTACGATGACAACTGCGGTTTGTGCTCACATCTACGACCTGCTCCTGTTCTCAGGACTCCGGGAATAGCAGCGCTGGCAGGGAAGAAGATGCAGCTGCCTGGCCTTGGGCATTGCTGCAGGTCAGCTGGTGGTGGGCATCAGCAAACACCTCGATGGCAGCTGCACTGGGCAGGCGCTCAGGAATGCAGCTGCCCTGAGGGCGGAGAGGGAGTTTTGGCCCAGCACATGCTGCTCTTGGCTGCACTGGTTCCTGAAAGCACAGTATGCAGAATAGCCACTGGCCTCCTACGCCTCAAAATGGCTGTTTGTTCACCTCATACATAAACCCCCACCTCTGTGTACAGCAGGATGAAGCTGTGACACCCTGCTATTCCTATGCAAATCCCAGCATAAAGTCCACCACCCCATTTCCATAAGGTCCCATTATCTGCTTTTCAGCAATACTCACCAGCCACTCCCCAAAGCCAGGTAGCATGCCCTGGCCCCCAGACAGCACAAGTGCACAAAGGAATCGGAAACCTTGGCTTGGTTTTTAAATCCAATGCTTCTTTTATTTCTGTTCAGGTGAATGGAAGTCACGGAAGTTAGTACAGTATAATTTACAAATCAGGGTTCTGCCCAGGCACTGGGCCAAGGGGTGTCAGGCTGCAGTGATCCCGATGGCCTTTGGCAATAGTGATGTGACAGCAGGCTCTAAAGTTGTTTCTCCTTGGAGAAAAGTTGTGCTTTGGGATCTCCCCTCCCCTACCTCTGCTCCTCATCAGCCTGCTGGGGTATGGCAAGAGTGAGATGGCATCACCAGGGCAGGGCTGAGCTTGCCACCTCCCAGCCACGGGGGCCACACTGGGATTGAGGAGAGGCTCAGGGCCCTCGTGTTTCGGGAAATGAGGATCTCTTTTCAGAATGCTATGCCAGCCACCTTGCAAGGCACTGCCTCCAGAGTGTTTTGGCTAGAGCCTGGTGGGTTTTTAGGAGGGATTGCAGCAGTTTGCTGGGGACTGGTTATGTCTAGTTTGCTAATGAGAAGGCATGAGAAAGAGCTGACCAACCAAACACCCATGAAACTAATTCAGAGTGATCCAATAATTCAATAAATAGCTCCTCGCCTTGGAGGAGAAGGCAGGAAACAAAAATGGAAGGAAGAAGGGATTGTTGGGAGAACACCACTCCCCCATTCCCTTCTCCAATATACACACACGCGCACACACACAACAAATAAAATAAGGGGTTTTAAAAGTTTTTAAGGGGGGGTTGAATTCATCTAGTAAAGGAGGTGTAAAAAACAGCCAGACAACAAACCCTGCACACTTTTCAAGTACACAGAGATGAAGCTGGGTGACGGTCACTTGTGACCCTGCCTCTCTCCCCAGCTGCTTGAGGGTGGCACTGGTAGGAAGGGGAACATGCTCCGTGTCCCTTGCCAGCACTGAGTCAGTCTTGAGCTACTGAGCTTTTGAGCTCGTGCCTGGAAAAGGAATGTTCCTCCCTCCCCCCTGAAAGGCAGCAGAATCAGTGGTGTTTAGCAGCATTGGGGGCAAGATGTCCTGAGCAGGGCATGTGAGCTACGTCCTAGCAGCTGTGCACTGTCCCCTTGGGCCCTCTTAGCCCTGTAACAGAGCCCACCCAGCCCTAGCTCAAGAGAGAGAGGGGACAGCTCAAAATAAATAGGGCACTGGATATATATATATATTTTTTTTTTTTTTTGGCTGTGGCTCTAGAGCCTTGGGATGTGGGAGTGTTTTCTTAACATTTTAGTTTAGGCCAGTTAAACCCAAAGAATCATGCTAATACCAGAGTTTTCTCCTGAAGTTAAAAATGGGACAGGAAAGGGACAAGAGTGGGCAAGGAGGGACAGGCAGGCCCCGTCCCCTCCTGGCAGAGGTCAGAGGCACATGGAACTGTCACAGTTAGAGCGGGAGAAGGGACGGGGGGCAGTTAGTGCAAGTTTTCCCACAAACACCAAACTCCTTGGCTTGCTTCCCAGTTAAGAACACACAACAGGGTAATGTATCTGAAAAGCAAAACCCATCTTCATCCTGCCCCGTTAGCAAGGCTTCATGGAGGGGACAGCCAGGCTCCTCCACAGCCTCGGGAAGGGGAGCACTTTGGTTGGACTTGCCCACTCCGGGCAGAGAGCTGGCATCACCTTGAGGTGGCAGCTCCGGTGCCTGGAGAGCGAGCAGGGAGAGAGGCAAGGGGAGCAGAGGGAGACAAGGCCCCCCTTCCTGGCAGGCATCCCATCCACCTGCAGGGAGGCCAGGGCAGTGGGGCAGCACATCCCTCCCACTGCTGGTGTCCCTCTGCTCTAGCTTTTCTCCTTGGGCGACTTGCTCTTGGAGTCATGCTTGTTGCCCAGCAGCTTAAGCACCTTCATGGGCTTGAATTTGCCTTTCTTCTTGCTCTCAGTCTCCGTCTCCTTGTGAAATTCTGGGGTTGCAAAGGGAGGTCGTTACTATGGGATGCTGATGGTTGCACACACACACACACACACACGTACATAACAACAGGTGCAAGGGTGAGAGCCATGAATCAAAGCCTTCCAACAGTATCCACAATTCTTCCTGCGAGAGAGGGGTGCTCAGCACAACTGTGCCCCAAACTTCTCCCACCCTACGGGAAAGGCTCCAGGGTCACACGGAATAGATTCACTCGCTCCTTCTGCACACAATAAGTGGCTTATGTTGCCCCTTGCTGGGGTCAGCAGTGAAACCATTGCTCCAAAAATCTCCCCGACAGTTCCTTACCTTTCCTTTTAATCATGGCTTCCAACATTTTATCCTCCTCTTCTTCCCTGAAAGAGTGGGAAATAGGTCAGCAATTCAGTCCTGAAAACAGCTGCTGTACTGTTTAAGGCTAGAGAACCTCCCACTTATAAGTCATGGAGAGGCAGATCCATCACTGTCTTGAGAACATTTGCTACCAGCAGGATAAATCCCACATACTGCAAGTGCTGCCCTTTCTTTCCTACACAAGGCATTCGAAGAGACAAGGATGGGGAAGCCTGGGAAAGATGTCAGCAACAAGGACATCTTGGAACACCCCCACAAGCCGCTCCTGCAGTGCTGAGTCAGATGGGCTTCCCCCCAGCCCACCCCACTCCTCACTCACCTCTGCCGGTCCTCATCCAGGCAGTTCACAATGGCGTTTCTCTGCTCAATGATGGTCACCAGCTCCTGCATCAGCACCTTCTCCCTCCCGCGGTCCTCATCAGTCCAGTCCTTCTCTACCCAGCCAAACCCCAAAGAAGGACCGGCAATTAAACGGCTGAAGAAGCTCTGAAACTCAAAGCTTTTGGGTCAGAGAGCCCCTAGCATGATCCCCTGCTACCCTGCACCATGCTGCGGGGCCAGCTGGACTAGTGGTGCGTGGGAGAGACCTGCAGGTGGCATCCCATAGGGAAAAAAGAAGCATGTCCCTTCATGATGGCAAGCAATGAGATGGGGCAGCAGCTCTTCAGCCAGCCAATTGTGCTGGCATCCCTAAAGTTCAGTCTCTGTCCATCAGAAAGCCATCTAGACAGAGAGAAGATGATGACCAGGGGGGAAAAGGAGGCAGCTGCAGCCAGAGGGATGCTTTACCTGGCTTGTTGAGGAGGCAACGCAGTTCATACTCAACATCCGACTGCCGCTGCTCCAGGTTCTGCTGCTTGAAACTGCAAGGGAAAAGGGCACTGCCAGGGACCACTGCAAGGCTCCAGAGAGGCAGAACATCATCCTAAGGTACAGGGTGAGCTGGGAAAGAACCTCCAAGATGCTGATCTTATCCTGTATAGAAAAGGGCCAGGGAACCAAGCGCCAGCAGGGACCAGCCCTGACTGCTCAAGGCCTTCCTGCAGGAGATGCTGCAGGGTCTCTGCTGACTTGCAGTGGGGCAGTTCTGAGTGCATTTGGATACATTTGTCTGCTTGCCCTCTTTCC